ACAGAAAAGCCTGTGTTTTTAGCCTTTGTGCTAACAGGGGAATGCAGACTGACCATAAGATAGGTATTTTTGTTAAGCACTTAAAACGCAGGCATCACACTAGCCTGTCCTAATTTTATTACCAGTATTTCAGCTTTGAGAAGTCTCATTCCTTCAAGGGAGTGGTAAAGAGAACTAGCACTTCCATACTTTTCTGGAGTTCTTTTTTGGAAAGTTTTTGACTCTTAGCTTGGGCATTGTTAGTGGCTTCGTTTTCTATTAAGCATAATACTAGTTTTCTTCTTCAGTTTTAACCTTAACAACATTGTAGTGATGGTGATTTCTTTGCTAACATGGTGGTGGATGCTGCACTGGCAGTTAAATACACAGACCAGAAGGGTCAAGCTCGGTATCCAATCAACTCGGTTAATGTTTTGAAGGCACATGGCCGCAGCCAAAAAGAGAGCATCCTTGTGAATGGTTATGCCTTGAACTGTGTGGTGGGCTCGCAGGGTAAGAACATGCTGTTTTGTAAAGCTCTTGTGTGAACTCAGTCCTCTTAGTCTTTCTGCGTGGATCTTCTTACGTCATTAGTTGCAAATCATGTGGGCTTTCAATTCTAGAACAGCTAAACAAGAATGCAAAAAAACTTTAACCACTCCATTGTAGTTTCTAGGCTAGCGTCTGCCAGCTAGTAGTGATCCACAAAGTGATGGTAGGTTACTGTGGTTTCCCTAGCACAGTATCAGCATGGTAACACTGTGATCCTCTGGAACATAAGCACCTCCTTTGTGAGGAGCCAATGTCAGGTTTGTAGGGAGCTATTACATTTAGCGGAGCTGTGTTGTGATTAGGTAACTTAAAGGATGTGAGACCAATGGGTCAGCTTTTCGTGATCATTCACATTTTGGGGATGGGGGCTGTAAAAAGGTAACAGAGGTTATAGTAGAGATTTTTTAAAAAAACTTCTCTCTTTGAAAGTCTTTGTTAGCATTTTTCTCTACTAGGGCAGAACTGGAGGCAGAGAAGCAAACAATAGAAATCTGAAATGTGAAAGTAGCATTAGTTTTAATGCCTAATGCTAGCTTGATGTTCTATTAATTCGATTTGACAAAACAGTTTTTCTTGTTCTCTCTCATCAGGTATGACCAAGAGAATAGTCAATGCAAAGATTGCGTGCCTTGACTTCAGCCTGCAGAAGGCAAAAATGAAGCTTGGTGTTCAGGTTGTTATCTCAGACCCTGAGAAGCTGGACCAGATCAGGCAGAGGTGTGTGAAAGCTTGAGTAACTGAGTCATTAGGGTTTCACGGGCTTGTTTTGGTCTCTTCAGTTGAGGTGGCTCAATGTAATTTTGGCTGAAGGCAAGACATAAAAATGTTTTAAATATTAATGTTTCCCAACGATACCAGATATTAATGGTGAAAGTCTTCTCTTCTGAAGACAGAACTAATATTAAGTCAGTTTTTGAGAAAGCCAAGTATATTTGTGCAGTGATTCCTTCTCCTTGCACAGCTCTGCATTAAGATTTCAGGAAATAGGTTGTCAGAATGCGATTGCAGACTTTAAAATACGTTTTTAAAAATTTGACTTTATTCTTGCAGAGAATCAGATATTACCAAAGAAAGGATCCAGAAGATTTTGGCCACTGGTGCCAATGTTATTCTCACCACTGGAGGCATTGATGATATGTGTCTGAAGTACTTCGTTGATGCTGGTGCTATGGCGGTACGAAGGGTTGTAAAAAAGGACCTTAAGAGGATTGCTAAGGCATCTGGAGGTATCTGGGGTTTTTTTTCCTTCTTCTTTTTAAGTAAAAGCTGCTGTTACAGTATTAGTAACTAATTTTCAAAACATGGCTTGTTAACATGCAAGCAGAGAATGAGTAGAGCTGAGCAACTCTTGGTTTTAACTTTGCCATTGCTTTTTTTGACTGTTCTGTCAAAGTAGATGAGTACCACAAGAGTTGACTGCTGAAGATCTACAGTGGGGAAAAAAATGCTGTCTTGTGGAAAAGGGAACCAGAATCTGTGTTTATTTAGAAGTCTTTATTAAGCACACATTTGTAAGCGTCTGGAGCATTAAGTACCTTGTTCAGATAGTTCAAGACAAAGAAAGAATTCCTGAATCATTAAATACATACTGAAAAAAATTTTGGTCCTATACAGGTTTTTATCTGTCAATTCTTAAGTTTGCAAGAAAGCCTTTTCATTATGGTAAAGCGTAGGAACTTGTACTAGCTGTGGAAAAGTGCTGTAGAAGTTGAACAAGAGCAGTATGGACTACAAACTGTAGAATATTGAATTGCTACCGGAGAATGAGAAGTGTTGTTGAGTTTAACAAAAATGTAGTTATGCTGCTTTTATTTCTGTTTTCAATTTGTTTTTCTTTCTGTATACCTGTCCTGGGAGGTTGGCAGAGGATGTGCTGAAGTTGAATGCTGATACCACTTTTTTGTTTGTTTAAAGCAACCATATGTTCAACCCTTGCAAACCTTGAAGGTGAGGAGAGTTTTGAGGCCTTAATGCTGGGACAGGCAGAAGAGGTGATTCAAGAGAGAATCTGTGATGATGAGCTGATCTTAATCAAGAAGTAAGAATCCTTAAAATACCAGTTTTGTACTAAGTTTGCGATAAAATCCCATTTATTTACTTCCATGTGATCTCAGTGGTTTAAGTAGTGAAATGCTAATGGGGAAGAGTATAAAAGTCCACTGCAAATTAGAGGTGAAAGTATCAGTATTTAATCTCTTCTGCTAGGGCTGGACACCTGTTTCATCAACCATAATGTGTGAGACAATCAGATTACTAGACAGACTTTACTTAAAATTCTGTTTTAAACCATTTTTTTCTAAAATTTACAAAAAATATGTATTAAATTGCTAGAGACACTACTACAGCATTCAAGTCATGTTCCTTCACCTGGCTTTTAGCAGTATAGTCACACTGGCTTCCCTCTACAAACAGTAAAGAGGAATTGGTGCCGTATGAGTTACTTCATCTGAATAAGGAGGTGCAAGCTAAATCTTGCCATTTGTAATGGAAGACAGGGTTTACTTTTGCTGATTTCATTGCGTCAGTCATCTGCTTGGTAGTATGAAATAGACCGCGTTGTTAAAAGGTTATTTTATTTTATTAGGGTTTTTTTAATGGGTAAGAGCAACAGTTACTAACTGTCCACATGCATGGTGTTTTCCTTTGACGTTTTTAGTATGCCACTGCTGTTTGATACCTGAAGACTTGAGTATCGGTTTAAGAGGAACATACTTTGGATATTAATACTAATCCCTTCTCAGTGTTCAACTTCCTGTAGTCTCATTTGTCCCCTTATTTGATGGGAAAACATCTTTTCTGTCCTACTTCTGTCAGGTAGCTTTCTCTAAAAGACTAAAATTAGTTTCTTGCATATTAGAACTTACATTGTAACTTAGTAAGAATTTACATGTCCTGTAAGGGTGCATAAAAATGTTAAGATTGGCTTTTAAATGTTGACAAAATCTGGCTCAACTGAACTTGGCTTTAGAAGAAATATTTCATCAAGAATAGTTCTAATATATATTCTGTTCAACACAGCTGACTTCCAATTCCTTTCTTCCCTAGTACAAAGGCTCGTACTTCAGCGTCAATTATCTTACGAGGAGCCAATGACTTCATGTGCGATGAAATGGAGCGATCTATACATGATGCTCTCTGTGTTGTTAAAAGAGTGTTGGAATCCAAGTCTGTTGTCCCAGGTGGTGGTGCTGTAGAGGCAGCACTTTCAATATATCTTGAAAATTACGCAACCAGCATGGTAAGTCTTGCACAAAGAAGTAACAGTGTGTATGTGTTAAACTAGGACAATGTGAATTTTCAAGCATTTATTTTCTACTAGAAGATGGTTCTGTGGTTTATGAAAACCTAATCATCAGACAGAATGTAAGATGCGTCTTTAAAACAGAGGCTAGGAGTTACTCTTGCTCTGATAATTAGACTTAAATGGTTCTTCAGCCTAAAATTAGGCTTTTCATGTGAAAACCTCTATCTACTGTCGCCAGTCTTGATCATAGCTGTGTTTTTTTTCTCTTTTGTTGCAGCAGCTGGTTTAAAAACTTTTTCTTCTTTTTAGGGATCCCGTGAACAACTTGCAATAGCAGAATTTGCAAGATCTCTCTTAGTAATTCCAAATACATTAGCAGTAAATGCTGCTCAAGATGCAACAGATCTTGTGGCGAAGTTGAGAGCATTCCACAACGAAGCTCAAGTCAACCCAGATCGCAAAAATCTGAAATGGCAAGTATCTATCTGTAGGAAGGCTGTTAAAACTGAGGTGGGTTGATTGCTTAAATGGAAAATTCTTCTGCCAGTTTAGTGAACCAAGATTTGCATGTAAAGAAAAAAAATGGAAGTAGGCCATCACTGAACTTCCCTCCCTCTGTCCTTCAGTCCTGTGTCTATATGTGTGTCACTGGGACGTAGCAGTAGTTAAACAGTGTACTTCCAACTCTATTTCTACTTTTTCTTCCTCTCCATCTGACAACATTTCTTCTTTTCAGGATTGGTCTTGACTTGATCAATGGAAAACCTCGCGATAACAAACAAGCTGGTGTCTTTGAACCAACCATGGTCAAAACTAAGAGCCTGAAGTTTGCAACAGAAGCTGCAATTACTATTCTTCGAATTGATGATCTTATTAAACTGCACCCTGAAACTAAAGAAGAGAGAGGGTGCTACGAGGATGCAGTTCACTCGGGAGCACTTGAAGAATAACTTAGGTTTTATTTATGTTTGTCTAACTTACACTTCCCACTCTTGTAACTAAAATGTTAATAAAACAAGTGGTTGAATGCTGCTGCTATTTTCTTGTGAACAAAATTTTTCAAAGTGATGTTAATCCCAGTGTTGAGAATTTAAGCTCTAGCGTGTGTTAACTAGAGTGCCTGCAGGAGCCGCTAATCTTTTTGTCAAGGCAATGATTGACTGGCAAAAAGTAATGGAATAAACTTACTTAATTTTAGGCAAAACAAACAAATGTAAGCTCCATGATTAGAAGTTTATTAGTAAATGTTTCAAAGCTAGTTAAGTTGGCACTAGCTATTCATTCATGCACGTTTATCTCTCGACACACATGGCTATTCCCATTCCTCCTCCTATACAGAGAGCAGCAACACCACGTTTTCCACCTGTTCGTTCCAGTGCATGTAGAAGAGTAACAAGGATGCGACAACCAGAGGCGCCAAGAGGGTGGCCAAGAGCAATAGCTCCACCTTGAATATTAATCTGAAAAAAAAAAAAAAGCCAATGCAGAAAGTCCAAGTTAAGAGATAATTTAGCTTAGTTGAGTTTTAACATGAATTACTTCACTGGTTACAGTCCTTGATTGTGAGTAAGCCTGAAACTGCTACCACCATTTCACGGAGAAACTGAACGTGAATGCAGCAACTGTTAAAATCAGTGTTTCTTCCGCAAGGGGCTTGCTCATCTTCAGTCTCTGAAGATAACAGCTGAATTGAGGGAGGGGAGAGCAATACCTGCACTTTTTGCAATTACTGGAAGAAGGCAGTGGCAAATACCTTTTCTGCAGCAAGTTCAAATTCTGGAGTTAGTTAATTACAAGCACACTCGAGCAGTTACCCAGACGGGCATACAAATCCACTATAATAAAGCTGTAGCCTGTTCAGCTGGGAAACGTGCAAAGCAAGCCTACAGCAAGGAAATGCCTACCAGGGTTCCCAGCCTTTTCGCTTATGGCAAAGTGATAGGAAGAGCACTGCTCTTGCCTCTGGAATACAATCCAGAGGCACAGAATGGAACAACTTTGAATTACAGGAGGCAACTAATTATGGGCTCAAATATATTCATTACCTTTTCTGGATTTACTTTCAGTTCTTTTGCTATTGCAACAGAGAGTGATGCAAAGGCTTCGTTAATTTCAAACAGGTCAACTTGTTCCAGAGTCCAGCTGGCTTTGTCAATCTGAGAAAACAAAATGGAGACTTTATTACCTTTTAGGTTTTCCTCAGCACCAGAGGAAGCTTTTTACAAGATTTAAATTGGGTGTTTGAAGCCATCATTTCTAAAAAGCTGAAGGAAATTAATTTTTATAGCCAGGGTTGATGACAGAGTTCTTGAAGACAATAGACAAAACTTCAGTGTCAGCAAAAGTCAGTACAATGTGCTGTAACACACTGACTGCTCTTAAAAAAATCTTGATTAATTTTACACACCTATTGGTGACGGTGCAATTGTCGGACTCGAACTGCGTGCGATGCCCTTACCAGAATCACAGAATGGCATAGGCTGGAAGGGACCTCAGAGATCATCTAATCCAACCTCCCTGTCATGGGCAGGGACGCCTCTCAACTAGATCAGGCTACTCAAGGCCCCGTCCAACCCAGCCTTGAACACCTCCAGGGAGGGGGCATCCACAACTTCTCTGGGCAATTTATTCCAAAGTCTTACCACCCTCGTACTGAAGAATTTCTTCCTAAAATCTAATCTAAATCTGTTCTCCTTCAACTTAAACCCATTTCCCCTTGTCCTATCAGTGGACACTCTCGTAAAAACTCCCTCCCCAGCCTTCCTGTAAGTTCCCTTCAGGTATCAGAAGGCAGCTATTAGGTCCCCCGAAAGTCTTCTCTTTTCAAGGCTGAACAATCCCAGCTCTCGCAACCTGTCCTCGTAGCAGAGGTGCTCCAGCCCCTGGATCATCTTTGTGGTCCTCCTCTGCACACGCTTCAACAGATCTATGTCTCTCTTTCAGAAGTAGATTTTAACAGAGGAAAATCAAGTTCCTCAGTACGTAAGACTGATTCCATTAGAGATTCTCTGCTTAATACAGATTTTTACATAGAAAATAGTGAAATGACCATCAGTGATGGGTGTCAAGTGTAATTTGTCCAGTCTTTCCTGCCTTTAAGTTGAAAGTTGCCACTTGAAGCTTTTCACAGGCAGCTATTTTGGAAGATGGTTTGGCTCATGTCTGCACTTGACAAACTCTTGTGGTGCAATTGCCTACTTGGGTACAGGCTTAGGCATGTTTCACGTATTTATTTTTAATTCCACTCACTTTGTTTCTAATGGCAATGCTTTATCTGCAGAATCACCTGCAGCAATGATGTTTCCCAACCAGCTAGCCAGGCTGGTGCATCTCCAAGACTACAATGGAAACTATTCACCTTCTGGGAAAAGGTAAATCTTTAAGATTTACTATGATGTTGCAACACTAAAATGCATGGCCTAGTCATTCACTATAAAGTCCTACTATGAATTTCTGAAGGGAGAAACTGATAACATGGTGGGTGTGAAACGTTTGACAACACATAGTACAAAGTTTGCATTAAGTAGCAGTGTGCCCTTTTTCAGAGTACCGATAAAATTGTAAGTACTGTTAAATACACCTTGTCCGTTCTACAATTTAAACTAAAAATTGTATTTTATATATATTACAGCATTCTTGATTTAAAAGAACAGTTTGAGATCTGATAAGAAAAAGCCTCAGCATTACAGTTCAGATTTTCCCTTTGAAAGCCACAGAGTTTGGGTGAGTTCAAGTCATGCTTCTACACTGCCAGGACATTTCAGAGATGGACAAAATAAGGCCTTTACACGGTATACGTAAAAATAAGAAGGAATACTACAGCAAATCTATCCTTATCAGCTGTACAAGAGCTCTTTTCATGCTCAGTTTCATAGCAGTTTTAACAAATAATCAGCTGGGGTTTCCATGGGCTACGCCTGTGTTAGCAAAGCAGTGTGGTACCACAGGGGCTGCTCCTCAGGGCATTGTTTGAGAACCTTGTGCTGTGGACTGAACACAGAGCGCATCAGTGAGTGCAATAATGGTCTGAGCACATTAGATATGGTTCTGGAGTGCACCTTCCTGTTCAGTTTGGACTGAAAGGAATGCAATTTGCATGCTGCAACCCTTTCCAAGGGCAAACTAAAGCACAAAGGGCACCATCACGTTTGCTAATGCAGATGCATTCTCTGGCCCTTCTCTCAGTGTTGTACCACTGCAAATACAATCAGGCAGTGATCTGAAAGTTAGCCTGGTCAGACACAGCATCAGAATCATACCGTGGCAGGACCAAATCATGCCCAAATTAGGTTAGTATACACATCCGTGAAATTTTATCTTTAGCATCCTAGGTTATCTAGATGGCCTTCCACAAACCTGACTAGTTTATGTTTATGTTCTGAACTCCATTATACACCTATACATTCTTTTTTTTTTTTTTCCAACGAGTAGGCACTAGCCTGGTAGCACTAGAAATCTTAATCTGTTTTAAGTCTTTTTTAATCTTAATCCATTTTAAGTCTTGTTTTAACTTAGTCTACTAAGTCTTCCTTAGAATATAGAAAAAACAAGACATGGTTAGAAAAGAGTTGTTGAATAATAGATAGGTAAAATTACTTACAGCTTTTGTTATTGCTGAAATGGGCCCTACTCCCATTATAGATGGATCTATACCTGTCTGAGCCCAAGATACAATCCGAGCCAAAGGCATAAGACCCCTCCTAGCAGCTTCCGATTTCTTCATTAGAATAACAGCTGCAGCTCCATCATTTATACCTGTGGAATGACAAACAACTTTTATGTATTCGTTGGGCCTTATGGCTTTTACTGCACCACCTTTTCCTGCTTGCATAAGTTCACAATCTAAATAAAACAAAAAAACCCACAAATCATTTATTGGTTTAGGTCAGTATTTGTTTCAGATCAGTCAAGTCTGACCTCTGACACAAACACTTAAAATGAGTAACATCTATTCTGCTGTAAATGTGACACATCTGTGACTTCTATTTAGAAAGCAGCAGGTGGAAGAATTGAGGCAAAATCTGAAAAAGAAGCGCAAGAGATTTATTAAGTAGACCTTGGAACAGGCAGCATAAGGACCAAGGAAGAAGTTTCAAAGCTGCCTGTGGCAGGAGTGTAAGTCTGACAGGAGTAACATTTTCAAGTATGAATTTTTAAGTTCCCCTTTGTCCAGACCTGCAGTATTAGAAACCGCTAGACAACTAGTTTTAAAAAAAGGATACAGTTTCTATTTGTTCCAGCTTATCAAATATTGCTGCTGTTGTCCAAACATTTGTATTGCCTCACAGAAAACAAGCAAACAAAAGACAACTCATCTGTAAAGAAATTCTCCACCACAGTTCCACTTGAGTTCTACCTATGTTGTCAAATGCATTGCCATTTTCTGCAAAATATATTCAGCATAAACCACACAGCAGACAAACCCCTCACAGAGACCCTGCCTTGAGCCCCAAGCAGCTGCTGTTCTTTTCCATTTCCGTTTTAGCCAGACAGACCAACCTGAAGCATTAGCTGCTGTTACTGTCCCAGTTCCATCTGTCAGAAAACAGGGCTTTAACTTTGCCATCGTTTCCAAGTTGCTCCCATGTCGAGGGTGTTCATCCGTTTTAACTTCTATAGGACCTGCAAAACAGCGTTGTGCTCACAGGAGGGGTCTGATCGATCACACACACACACTCCCCCCTCCCCCCCCACCCCCCACAAAGCCAGCACAAACAACAGGCTGATGGGGAATACACACCATTTTCCTTTTAACCAACAAGCCGTTCTTACTTTGGAGGCAGCTTCCAACTCGGTGCAATTTGTTCAAGCTCCCTCCAGCTGCTTCTAGCAGGACAGACAGCTGGGTTTTCTGAGACAAACACTAACAACTAAAATACTGTCTAGTTGTACAAAAGGAGATCTTGTTCTTGCTGTTCCTAAGCCAACAGCTTCTCTTAATGGCAATTAAGCAGAAGGCTATCTTCCAAGTGATACTTGTAGGAATCTCATTGCAAAGAGTTGTCAATTGTCATTAAATATTATCTGAACTGGTATCAGGAAAGCTTGTCATTGTAAGTTACTTTGTTACATTGGTTACTTTGTTGCCAGCCTAATGCCAAAACTTTTCCCACAGGGTCTAGTCAATGCACATATTGAACAACTGATTCTTGATATCTGTTTGGAAAACTCAGTTTTTTGCATCCACCTCACAAGGAGCTGGGGGAATTCTCCTGCTCTAGAAACAGATCTTTGGCTCAAGTGCCATATTAGGCTTGTTTATCTCTCTAACAGACCTAAAGAGAAACATATCTAATACATGTAACCTGACCAAGTTAATTAACTAGTAACCCTAATTTTTGTCACTGTGTATTTCACTAGGTGGGCAAGGTTTCCCAGATCAACATGACTGGTCTAAGTTTGGTGCAGCAGGAGTCTAACAAAACAAAGAATACTGATTTCAGTACCATATCTGAGCCTATGTTAAGTCAGCAGTTTGCCTGAGTAGTAGTTAGATCTCCAATAAATCAGTAGTAGTATTTGCAGAGAGCTACATTTAGATATTCCATATTGGCATTGCTTCTCTCTCATTTAAAAGAATACTGAAACTGAAAATTTCAGCTGAAAATTGAAAAAGAGAGCAACAGGTTACAAACTTACAGCACAGCTTACAGAAAAGGCTGTATAACTAGGAAACCATCCATTGATTATAGGAGACATAGTAGAAAACATTTTTATTTAAATTCAGCTCTTATTATTCATTCACACCTACCTTTTTTAGAAGGTACCAGAACAGGAACAATTTCTTTTGTAAAATAGCCAGCTTTCTGTGCTGCCTCTGCCCTGTTTTGGGACTGTACAGCAAGTTGGTCTTGTTCCCCTCTGCTGACTTGCCACTGATTAGCCACATTTTCAGCTGAAATAGGAACAAAATGCAAATTCCCATGAGAAAATGCTAAAATTTTAAGTTGTAAAACTGTAAATACCAAGGTGGCCATTAATGTTTGCTGTAGCAAGCAGCTAAGCTTGTCTAACAGTTTTCATTCCAATTTCCTCATTTTGTTTGTTCATGATTCGCTGCTGTATTTTCATTTGAGGGTGAAAATTTCTGTGCGGGATCTCCTCCCAGATGTTATATCAAGGTAAATACAAATGTAAACAAACTTTTCTAGTTTATTGCTTCTCTTGACTATTATGCTCAGATCTCTCTACAGCTACTTCAGAGGAGGGAACAGTTCTGAAGTTACTCTGTTTCATAAGCAGGGTCTGAAAAAGGAGTTAGCTGACTATCCCATCCAGGATATAACAATCTGAAGTTGCAGAACCACGTGTAACCACAGCACACTTTACAAAATTCCCCCCCACTGTACATCTGTGCTGCTGAATGCTTCAGTTATATACAAGGATTATTTTGGTTATTCTCCCCGAAATCACATTAAATTGCTCAGATGCAAAAGAGTTGCAGTGAGATTAGCTCAGATAGGAAAAAAAAAAAGAACAGTAGCTTTACAAGCAAATCAGAAAATCCCTTCAGTGTTGGGGATTTCTTTCTGTTTCATGACTACAACTTAAGGACAGCTTGAAACAATTTATCTAAAACTTCGGTTTTCTGAAATTTCCTATCAATGATTTCTTCCCCCCTCCCCAGTTAACCACTTCGTTTTCTGAACTGTCACCACTTACCTGTTATACCCATATGATACTGATAAAAAGCATCTGTAAGGCCATCAAGGATTATAGTGTCCTGCAAGGAAGCCTCGCCCATTTTCACCCCAGCTCGCATGTGAATGACATGAGGAGCCTGCAAGAAGGTATTTCAAAAGGAGTTAGATGTTTTGTGTCTCCAGGGCACAGTACAGCCAGACAGCTGAAGAGATGGGCCCCTGCCTTGCGGTTGTAGGTATCCCAAATCCCGGCAGTCTCCCCAGCTGCGGGCTCCGTCTCTCCCTCCAGAGTCTGCCAGCTGGCATGCTCTGTTTGGCCTGTGTATTTCCCGGGCAGCAGATCACCAAGCAGCAAGTGTTTTCTCTCCACATATTGAATCAATTGTCCCTGGGGCAATACAGCAGTGGATCCCCCATCCTACCCATCTGCTCTACATGGTTCCCAGTTGCACTCTGCTGCCCGCAAATGCCAACATCACTCTCAGCACAGGCAGCTTGCGAGCCCCAGCACAAGAGGCCACTCACATGTTAGGCACCAGATCACGAGCCCAATGCCATTCCTCCGTATAGCCTTGGGCTGAAAACCTTAAAATGAAAGCCCTTTGCTTCCTTCCCAAGCTCAAATTGCTTGGTGAACAATAACATTTCCAGTTACGCCTTCTTTGAGCTTTCTTTGCAAAAGAACTGTCTATTGCCAGCTGTCGCAAGCAAGTCATCCACCACAACAGGGCTAGATGGAAATTAAAATGAAATTTCAAACGTGGTGTGTGTTTGCATGACACCTTTTCAGTAGCTACAGTACCAGGCCTTTTTTTTTTTTTTTAAAAAAAAGCTTTTGAACTCAATTGTTGCATGTGTAAATTCATCCCCAAGTGCAGAAGCTACTCTTTCAATCCGCCTCCAGAGCGCTTGCCTAGAAACACAGGGTTTCAACATAACTTGATGCTGTTTGCTCCCAGTGAGTCAGTGCAATGTGAGTGCAGTTATTTGCTTTACCTTGCTCATACTTTCCATGCCTCCTGCGACCACGATGCTGGAGTCTCCCGTCAGTATGGACTGAGCAGCCAGACATACCGCTTTCAAGCCAGACCCGCAGATCATCTGGCAGCTCCAGGCGGGCACGGAGTAAGGGATTCCTGCAGCAACACTTGCCTGCCGGACAGGGTTCTGGCCAGCACCTGCAGGAACAGGGAGCATTTTTCCTTTGTCTGTTCTTAAAAAAAACAAATGTCGACCTTGGCACTTTTCACAACATGTACTCCGACTCCACCAAAATTTAGAGCTTGCTCCTATGTTCAATTGGTAGAGAAGTTCCCAACAGTAAACAGGAGCTCAGTCACCTCTCTCATTTATATCATTGATATAAAATAAAATATCTGCAAGATCAGGGACTTGCTACTGATAGTTTTTTATCTCCAACTCTGCTTTTGACTGCAGGCCAGGTGAAACGCCTTCTATTCAACTTCAAATTAGCACTAGCCTGTTGTACACATGTAAAATAAGAGTTCATTTCAATTGCTACTTGCTGAAGGGTTTCTTTTG